TTTTTTTAAAAAGACAAGCATGGAATCCTTAAAAGAATTTTTTTATAAAGTTATTTTCCACAAAGAACCTAGAGATATTCCACTAAACATTGATATGAAAAAAAAAGACATTTGTATGATTTGCAAAAGTGTTATTGATCCAAGTCTTAAAGACTCAATTACAATTTTAAGCTATAAACATTTTTACTATAAAGAATGTATTGGTGATACGTGTCCGCTATGTTAAGAACAAACTAATAGGATTGAAAATGCATTGATTCATCGTTAAGAAAGTAGCTGTTCCATTAACTCATTATTGAATTTAGAACGTGCTAATATTTCTACTTCACTTACTGAATTTACCGAACCCACGTTTACTGAATCTATTGAATCTACCGAACCTACATTTACTGAATCCACTGAACCCACATTTACTAAATCCACTGAATCAACCAAACTTATTGAATCTATCGAATCTACAGAATCTAATGGTATGCTTGTTAAATTCACTGAACTTACTACTTCTTTTATATTAATTGAATATACTGAATCTATTGCTTCTGTAGATTCTACGGATTTCACTTCTGCACCTATTGAGTTAATTGAATATGCTGAGGTATCCAAGCCTACTAAATCTAAAACAACTAAATCAAAAGCAATATCTAAAAAACACAAATGATTCAGTTATTAAGAGAACTAAACACACCTGTTAGGGGGAATATGAAAATAATAGCAGTAACAACAATAATATTAACATTAATAACAATAATAATAACAGTAATAATGTACTACCATTAATTCAACTTTATACAAATATAATTCGTACTGAAAGTGATGCAACTAAGGCAAATCAAATGGTAATTAGGAGTTGGTATGAATTTGCGGATGAGCTTGATAAACAGATTAATCAAACATTAAGGAATCAAAAAAAATCTAAACATAGAAGTTCTAAAAAATCAGCAACATCTGAAGTATATGATAAACTTTTAAACCATTTCACTGATATGACCCGTGTTGCTTTAAGAAAAAGGGTGGAAAAGGTAAATAAGGTTTATACCTTATTTAAGGGAATAGGTATCAATAAAATT